AGGCTTGTGTTATTAGCATGAAGCTAAACTGTGGTCACCTAATTTATTGTTTTCTTCCCTTGACTTATTTGTATGAAACCTCAGCGTTGTTGTCTTTTATTGTTAGCTGAGCTTTTCAGATGCCAGAGCTAAAGAGTTGTTAGCTTGTGTTTTACCTGTGGTGATCTGATGACCTGACGACAACTGTGCCATCTTTGCTCAGGACATTTAAGCATCTCTGGAAACAAGTGGCCGAAAATCTGGACGTCTACAGGACATTTCCTCGTTTGGCAGGAGGTCAGTAGATGGACAGTCAGGGCATTGTGTTTCTGAGTCTCATCCATTCTTTATTTCCAGTCTTGTTGTTTTGGGTTTTTTTTTTTTCCCCTCACAGAATGCGGTGGGAAAAATTTCCACTTTGTGCACAGCTCAGCAGATGTCCAGAGTGTGGTGACAGGGACGATTCGCTCTGCTTTTGAGTACGGCGGACAGAAGTGTTCAGCCTGCTCCAGAATGTATGTGCCCGACAGCCTGTGGCCACAAATCAAACAGGGACTACTGGACGTCCACAAAGACATGAAAATGGGAAATGTATGTCATCGTGACATCATCTGCCTCCTGTGGTATCTTTTTTGTTCTTTAAACAGGCTTCATGACGTTTTTGTTTTCTTTTTTTCCCTCCTCAGCCTGTGGACGACTTTAACACTTTCTTATCCGCTGTGATTGATGAAAAGGTTCAGTCTCCGCTTCCACAGTTTGTCTCTACAACTTGCTTTTCCTTGTCTCTGTACTTCTTGTTGATCTCACTGACTCTGCTCTGTTTGTCCTTCAGTCGTTCGCACGTAATAAGAAGTGGTTAGACCACGCCCGCACTTCTTCCAGTCTGAAAGTCATCGCTGGAGGAAATTGTGACGATTCGAAGGGTTACTATGTGGAACCAACGATCGTGGAGACGAGCGATCCTCAAGATGCAATCATGAAGGAGGTGTTATGACTTCCTGTCTCCAATTTTCTTTAAAAAAAAAAAACTAATTTGCAGAAAACAAGAAAAACACAACAACCCCAGTTATGACTACAGCTAGAAAACACGAAACAAACACAAAATGTCCCAAACCAAGAAAACATTAAAAGTAACAGAGCATTTGAGCAAATGACGGTCCAACCAGACAACAGTCGTAAAAGAGTACAGTCTATAACAGAATAATCAGAGGACAAAATCAAAGACAGCAGAAAATGAGTATGCAGTGGACATTTTTAAAAGACCACTCGTAGATCACCTCTTTGTTTTCCTTTGTTTTTGTAGGAAATCTTTGGTCCAATTCTGAGTGTCTACGTTTATCCCGAGCAGAAGTATCGGGAAGTTCTGCAGCTCATCGATTCTACATCACCATATGCTCTGACGGGTGCAGTGTTTGCTAACGACCAGTAAGATGAGTTCATCTTTAGAAGTGGTGGTGACATGTTGTTGGACTGACTGACTGACTGTATTGGAGACAAACCAGATTTAGACCATTTAACCAGACAGACCCAACTAATCAATCTTTTGTTTAATATTACCCCCTCTATTCCCACAGGTTATGTGGAATCACAGCACATAGAGCTTAAGTTGACTGTTTTTTTCCCCTCACTGATGCTGGCAGTAGTGAGTCAACAACATCCTATAATCTCAAATCCATTTTTCCCTCTGGCTGCCAGTCTGTAGTTCTTATTCAACAGCAGGGGGCGTGTTGAGCTGCAACCAGCCTCACACGTGTAATACAAACTTCTTTTAAATGACAATCAGAGCTGGGGAGCAAAGAGATGGCCTTCTTACTGTAAGACGAGCACTATTTTACCCAGGTGAAAGAGACAGACCTACGGACAGACTGACTGACAGACAGGAAATTACATCAAACAGTGATGACTTTGTCTTATGGTGTCTATAAAACCATCTGCAGGAAAGTCCTGGACGAAGCTTCCATCATCCTGAGAAACGCTGCAGGAAACTTCTACATCAACGACAAGTCCACGGGTTCCGTTGTTGCCCAGCAACCGTTTGGTGGCGCCAGAGCTTCAGGTGAAAGGCTTGTTCTGTTCTCTACTCAATGTGTCACAAAAACAACTGGAACCTGACCTCTGACCTTTCTCCCCATCAAGGCACCAACGACAAACCGGGAGGACCGCACTACATCCTGCGGTGGACATCACCTCAGGTGGTGAAGCAGACGCACGTCCCGCTCAGAGGGTGGCGTTACCCTTACATGGACTGAACCTGCCTCTCCAATCGTATTCGTGCACTCTAAGCTGCTCGTCCAATCACAGCCCAGTGTCCAATTACAGCACTGTTCCACAGCAGACTATCCAATTAACTGTGGCCATCAATCCCTTTCCACCACTCCGACTGTTACGGTGATGAGACTCCGCTATTTCTTTTCAGGCTAAACCCCGCTTCCGTCCTTGTCAGGGTAAATCCAGCTTTCTTTGAGTGATTGACTTAATCGGTCCATCAACCAGATCTATTTGTGAGATGTTGTCCTTCTTTTCTCAGTGAACATGATGTTTAGCCACAACCAAAAAAGACAGAAGTTATGACGTGATGGTTTGATATTTGTATTCATCAGTTTGAATTTTAATTTCTTATTTTCACTAAGAAACAGCTGGTAGGCGGAATTATGGGATGTTACTATGTAACATGATGAAAATAAGGACAAAACCTCAGCCAAGTTCTGCTGGTGGTTCAGCATATTAGATGAAGTAGGGTTTATTGTCATAAATATAAATCAGAAATGTACTACTTGTCTATCAAGATGCCAATCCAAATTTGTTGTTGTTGGACATCTTTGTTTTTTCCTGACCAGAGCTGAACCAGAGCAAGAGCAAAGATTTTTTAATGAACAGTAGAGTGAACTTTCCTTGGGTGTGTTTGTAGTTTCCTGATATATCTAATATAAAGACAGGGGGTAAGTTGAGGTGGCCTTGTCATTGCAGCCATAAACTGTATAAAGACATGTCCAAGTCTGGCTCATTAAACTTGGCTTATGTGTGAGCCGGGGTTATTTCTAAATACATGGTTTATTGAAACCTGGTTTAAATTGATTATTCTAGTTCAGGAAAGTCATTTTAACTTACTGAAATCAGGGTGAATTGATGAGAGGAATCATTTTTAAACCTGGATTATTAAATATGCAACTACTGTGCACGTAATTAACACTGTAACTGAAAAAGTTATTTTTTCTAACAAAGATAGAGCCATAGACTAATTATAAATTTAATTTCTTTATTTTTAAAATGTTTTTGCCTTAATTTCTGTAATTCATGTAGCAAATACGTTTTAAAATATATAATAAATTAGTAACATCAACTGGAGGAGGAGTGTTTTTTTAATTGTTTCTAGGACCTACATCTGTTTGGGGGTATGGTTATATATCATATATTTTATTTATTATGTGTATTAGTACAAAACCAGGCTAATTTAAATATGTCAGGATTATTTATTTAGTATTTAGACGTCGAACAAGTTTTAACATTTTTGTTAGGTAACTTCTCAGGTAACGTTTTTCTTTCGACGAGGGTAATTTATTTCATTTTGCTCAATTGCATCTCTGAATATATCGGCTTATTAATAGGTGTTCTGTACCGACAATATTTGGTATTTGGATCAATTGGCTCACGTAGGTTTTCTTTACACATTAACTTATTTAAATAAATATCTATTTTTCTTTTAATTTTAATATTGTAATAGCGTTAATTATCACTAACTGCTCCGGAAATTGACGTCACAATCTGTATGACTTAATTCCGCGTTCGACCTAGACATGAGTTTTGGCCACTGTGTGATTCCGTACACTGTCAAACAGTGTTGTGGTTGATCCCTGTTTAAGAGCAATTGCTCTTGTTTGTGTATGACAAACGTGTTACAGTTAGCTGCAGTTAATAGTGGGACAGAGCTGCTCTTTCTGCCTAGGTACTGCTCACGGAGCTTGGCCGCAGTTGCAAGAGGACGCCTGTTGACCGGAACACACAAGTATGTGCTAACCTGCTAACTCAAATGACTGCAGGTGCTAACGACTGACAGCGGGTCAGAGGCTATGATTGAGGCCGGGTACGGCCGCTATTCTGCGGCGGTTTTTTACCGTCTCACTCAGCTAACTCAGAACGGTTCTTTTCTTGACGCGTTTTCCGATTAAGTGGCTGTTTCGGTAGAACAACATTATCCAACCATTTTGGAATCATTCTAAACAGAGTCGCCAGTGAAGAGCTATTTTTAGTGTTGTTTGTAAACTGATACGAGGCAAGCTCAGAAGATTTCATAATTCTGGTCATTTAATCCGGGGTTCAAAGAACTCGCATGTTCTGACGTACCTGGTCTACCTAAATCAGAACTGATAGACTATATTATATATAGAGTCCTCAGTAAAGGCTCCCTGAGGTTGGGTTAGGGTTAAACCCACAGGCCTTAGGCTTATACAGTGATGTTGGACCAGAAGTGTATGAATTCATACTGCTGCTGCTTTAGTGTTTCAGAATGACCCATGACCACAGCTTCTACACACGTGTGAAGTCCAGCACCAAAGCCAACATGAAATTATTTTATGAATACTTGCTTGTACTAGCTCTTTTCTTTCCACCTGTTCTCACCAGCAGGGAACCGAATGTCTTCTAAAGGTGGAGGCACCAGTCTGACCAGAAGGAGCTACAGACTGTCCACAGACATAGACAAAACTAAAGCCACAGGTGAGGAAAGAACAGTTTAGTTACGGAAATGCCCTCGGTATTAATTTGTCATCATTAGGAGTGTCTTCAGGTGATGTGCTGTGACAACAATTACAAACTGTGTGCTGTGGTCCATATAGATGATGGGCAGCAGCACACTGTGGTGCTTGATTCATTGCTGCCTCTGCCTGTCTGTTGTGAAGGATTTCTGACACTAATTCACCAGAAGGTGCCAGCGTATGAGGACTATGTTGTTTCTGTTTTTTTTAACTTTTGGACTCTATCGTTGTGCGTAAATGTTTAAATCTGTCTACAGAATTATCAAAAAATAAAAAACGTATTAACCCAAAGAAAACATTAACTGCTGGTCTACTGCTGCCTCCTGTTGTAACTTTGGGACATTGGAGCAGACTTAGGTGAGTCAATTCAAACAGTAGCTCATGTGGTCACAGACAAAAGCAGCAGTGGATCAAAAAAACCCATGTGACCTTTGGAATAGAGTCTGTGAGAGAAGATGAAAGCTTATCATGTGTCTCTGTCAGGGATTATCAACGAGAAGCTGCTCAGTGACTACCTGCACCATGTCTTCCCCTCAACCAATCAGGGACCTGCAGTGGCACCTCTCAGGTAACGCACACACACACGAGAACACACACAAATATTTCTCATTGGTGAAAAGTATTCAAAGGTTTTGTGTGTGTGTATGTTTCCTCTCTTCTCTCTCCTTCTTTTCTCTTCCCTGTCTCCTCACATCCACTCTCTTCTTCCTCTTTATTCATCCTAATCTCCCCTCCTCTCCTCTCTGTCTGTTTACACAGGAACTCTCTTGGTTTTCAGGATCTTTCATCTCACATAGACAGACTTTTGTCTGAAGGAGAAGTCTTTGAGGAGATTAAAGGTCAGTGCTATCCTTGTGGTCTCCACACTGTTACATCATTTTCACCTGTTTCACACATACACATATACTCCTGTGTCTCACACACCTTTGTCTCGCACACCTATCTGTCCCACAGATGAGCCTGTGGACGGTCGTCTGGGTCCTCAGCCTGTGGTCCTGGATCACACTAGTGGTTTTGAAGGACTTTTGTTTGTAGATGATGACCTGCTGGGGGTGAGAGAAAGGAACACATGCAATTGTACACGGGAAGCCTCATCCTTCCACTTTAAACCTCGGTAAAATAATCAGACGTTAGCTCACAGAGACTCAGCAGCTGCTGGACCTCTGCTGCCTCATGTCGTCAGTTTGTGTCACTGTTGTGACAAAAAAAAAAACAAAGAAAATATTATATTGTGTTATATACATTATATAACATATATACATATATACATATATACATATATATATGTGTGTGTATATATATATATACATATATACATATATACATATATACATATATATATGTGTGTGTATATATATATATATATATGTAGTGTTATATATAATATTATATATATTGTGTAAAGAATATATAGAATATTTCAAACATTGAACTCAGTGATGGAGGCAGCAGTGGATCAACGCCTGAACTAAAATCACTGTTTTTCTCTATTAGCTTTGGTAGTTGACTGTACTAGAATAAAGGAAAGGAAAGTGAACTCCTTGTCATTGTGACACAGCACACAACAAAATGTGACCCTTGCATTTAATCCATCAACAAAGTGAACGGTGGGCACCTTTAACGGTGCCGTGCTCAGCTGGTGGATTCAAACCTGAAGCCTTCCACACCCAAGTCCACTTCCTTAACCACTGAGCCACCACTGAATAAGGATTGTGTCCTGGTCAAAGCCCACCTACGCTGTCAAATGAATTTCATTCCAACATTTCTTTTTCTTTCAGGTGATTGGACACAGCAACTTTAGTTCCATCAGAGCCACCACCTGTGTTTATAAAGGTAACATCTTTGACCTCCGTATCACTTCTGCAAAGTCTGAGACTGACCCTAGTACCTAAACATTAGAAAACAAATGTCAGTAGAACAGACAAAACTACAAGTAACTATAAGTAAGTTTTCTATTCTTTTCAGGGAAATGGGAGTACGAGGTTCTGATCTCCTCTCAGGGTCTGATGCAGATTGGCTGGTGCACACTTAATTGTCATTTCAACCAAGAGGTACATGGACCAACACACACACACACACACACACACACACACATGCGCGCACACTCAATACTCAATGTTGATCTGCATCTTTGCAGGAGGGTGTGGGCGACACCCCCGATTCGTACGCTTATGATGGCAACAGAGTCAGGAAGTGGAACGTGACAACAACCAACTATGGAAAGGTGGGCAATTGTATTCAACTGATGTTCTCAAATGCTGTCCTCAACTGGCAGATGTCATTGATGTAACGTTCATGCCTGAGCTTCACTCACTCACTCACTTGTTGACTTAATAACAGCTGACACTCGCTGTCGTTGATGTAACGTTCATGCCGTTCATGTTGACTTAATAACAGCTGACACTCGCTGGATACACTTTCATTCATGTGTTGTTCCATAGTGTAGCTTTTAACACGCCTGCCTGGCAAGCAAAGAGCAGAGAGTCCTGGGTTCAATTCCCAGAGGACAGTTGGAGCAGATCTGATTTGCTTTTAATAGAAGAACTTCCCCAGTATGGGATCAAGAAAGTTTAAATAATCATAATTATTATTGATACATGAACTTAATCCAAGCTAAATGTGAACTGTTTGTCTCAGTCTTGGGCAGCAGGTGACATCGTCAGCTGTCTGATTGACCTGGACGAAGGAACCATCACCTTCTGTCTGTGAGTAAACGCTCGCTAACCAATTCCTGGCTCCGTACTCAGGTAAAGTCGAGTAACTTATTGTCTGTGCAATTGTCAGGAACGGACAGTCTTTGGGGACAGCCTTCACCGATATTAAGACTGGACCAGGTGTCGCCTACTTTCCTGCTATCAGTTTGTCCTTCAAAGAGTCAGTGGCGTTTAACTTCGGGAGCCGCCCGCTACGATATCCTGCCATACTAGTAAAGGAATGGCTAACTTCCGGGGACAGATCTGAACCGATGCTGTCCTTATTGGTCTCTCTATCATTGTGTTTATACTTTCAAGATGACTTGTATCTCCTGTTCCGAGGCTTTTTATCGTGAATCTGTGGCTACATCAGCAGTCCCCAATCTTTTTTTTTTTACACCGGTTAAATGTATTTCTTTAAGGTGCTGCGGATAAATATAACTAAAAAAAAATGGAAAAGGCATTAAAAACTGGTATTTTCTAAATCTAATAATAAACTTGAAGCCACTGTGTATGCAACTTTATTAGCAGTGTCCTCGTAACATCGTGCTTGTCTTTTAATGTAGAACTTGGACTCCAAGTGGTGAAGCAGTTTTGAAGGCTTCGTCGCCTCATTAGAGAGCCGCTCACCGCATATTACGAACAACTTTTAGAAACTTTTCAAAGTTCGTTTTGGTAACTCGGGGGTTTCAATGTAGCGGTAATGTGTTAGAGGCCAGAGGTTTTGGTAACTCGGGGGTTTCAGTGTAGCGGTAATGTGTTAGAGGCCAGAGCAGACCTTTTTAAGAAGGTAGCGGATGTAGGTAAGACATGTGACTGAGGCAAACATCTTGACATGCATCAAGTGTGAGTCATACACAGATGTGGCGGAGAGAATCCAATAAATTTTCAAAATAAAGCATCAGTCAGAATCAGATAATAAATAAAACGGAAATAATATACTTTTTTTTTTCCATGCGTCCCATTACCAATTGACACATTGAATAGTGCTGGTCTGCGGCCCAGGGGTTGGGGTATGTGTCTCATTACCAATTGACACATTGACTGGTGCTGGTCTGTGGCCCACTGCTCTACGTGACTTGTCCTTAACCCAAGATGTGTCCACGTACCCAGCAGAGGGTTACCTCCCACTGCAGGACCCACCCATCACAGAGCTGACCAAAGCCCACAAGCTGCTAGGCTACATCAAAAATATCCTGTCCACCACCATAGACACCCAGGTAAGAGACTGCACTCAGACAAAAGACAATGCTGAGACGAGAGACGTGGCTTATACGAGAGACCAGACTAGAGACAACTGAGTGGTTAGGTGCGAATCATACTTGTGTCACTGTCTCCCTGCTGCAGGAGGACAGGTTGGTAGAGAGTGATTCCGCCACCTGGAGCCTTTGTGGAGACACCACCATCCTTGTCACCCTGGCACATGTCTTCAACTACTTTGCTCCTCTTATGGTAAACTTGGTCCACACAGGTTTTAATGTGTTTTTACCAACTGTTGTTTGTACATGTCCCCATGGTACTGTTTCTCCAAGGTTCTTTTGTCTCGGATTCTTTGCGCTTTTTGAAACATGTTCTGTTTTACCATACACGACTCTTAAGAGTTATCCCCATTCCATCAGCAAGTTGATTTTGGTTTAACTGCTGGGATGTTTTTTTGAACTTTGCAGAGAGTCGTGGGGACATGGTTTGGAGGATGACGTGACCCTCATCTTTGTGGTTTTTGTGTTCACAGTGTAAGGTGTACCTGGTTGAGGACGTTCTGATGAACTTCTTTCTGGGAATACTGGAGGGAGGAGGTTCAGTCAGTGAACATCCACTCATTCAACAACTGCTGGATTTATTTTGGCTCATTATGGAGGTCTTACACACACACACATATTATGACGTTTTTACGAGGTTGTAAACTACAGATGCTCCTTGTTTACCTTTCTGATAGTACTAAATACCGTATTTTCCGCACTGTAAGGCGCACTTAAAAACCTGTAATTTTCTCAAAAATCGACAGTGCGCCTAATGAATATAATTCTCTCTCTCTGTCTCTCTCTCTCTTTCTCTCTGTGTCTCTGTCTCCAGGTCCCCCTTAGGATTATGAAGTGAACGAGTGTTTGAAGCAGTTAATGATGTCATTACTCAGGGCCTATCGATTCTCTCCAATAATCCCTGATCTGGGATTTCAGGTAATGTCTTTCGATATTAAAGATTGACCTGTAATCCTCATTTTTGTTGGTTGTCAGTGTATAGTCAAGTGTGTGTTTGTTTGTTTTTTTCCAGGTCCACTACCTGCGTCTGACCACTGCGATCCTTCATCATGAGAAGTCCAGGAAGTACCTGCTCAACTATGTTTTATATCCTTCTAGTCTTGTCCGGACTGTGCTCTCCGGTCTCATCTGTGATGTGATTGGTTGTTTTCACATTTGTCTTAACTTTGTCCACATTCGACGTTCTTCGCTCTGTTGTCTTCTTCTACATCAAAACTCCTTTGAGGGTAAAGGAAGCTGGGCTGGAGGAGCTCATTCCCACCACCTGGTGGCCAACACACTTTGACAAGGAGGTGAGATGATGATTGACCGTCTAATGTGTCTAATGTTTTCTTCAGTTGTCCTTGTTGTCTAATGTTGTCCTCTGTGTGTAATGTTATCCCTGGTGTCTAATATTGTCATCTGCATCTAATGTTGTCCTCTGCTTCCAATTTGTTCTCTTTGTCTAATGTTGTCCTCTGTGTCTAATGTTGTCCTCTGTGTCTAATGTTGTCCTCGGGGTCTTCAGTTGTCTTCGGTGTCTAATGTTGTCCTCTGTTTCTAATGTTGTTTTCGGTGTCTTATGTTGTCCTCTGTGTCTAATGTTTTTTTTTCAGTGTCTTCAGTGTAAAGTATAATGTTGCCTTCGGTGTCTAATGTCAACTGATGTTGTCTTCAGCGTCTGATGTTGTCCTCAGTGTCTAATCTTGTCCTCGTTGTCTATATCTCTAATGTCTCATTCTATCCTTGGTGTCTAATGTTGTCTTCA